AGAACAGCTGCTTCCTCACATTCTTGGCAACACTGAGTTCTGTCATTCCTTTTCAATTTTTGCAAAATATATTGAAGAAAATGGCATGCCATTCTAATTTCCCTTTCTTTGACTACTACTGAGATAGAGTGGCACTTTGGATCTCTCTGTTAATTGCTTCCAAGAGGCTCACAGCACCAAACAATTTTTTCTGGCTGGAGAGGGTATCAAGGCATAAGGCAATGGACTCCACCAAGTTCTAGCTTGCATGAAGAGTGCCAAACAAACAACCAGTATGGGGATAAAATTTTTGTGTCAAGAGATAGCTACTATAAGGGGCTGGGAAAATAGCTCAATAGAATAAGTGCTTGCCTGGTAAGTGCAAGGGCCTGAGTTCAATCCCTGGTTCTGCCAAAAAAAAAAAAAAAAAGAGCAAGAGAGAGATAGCTACTACCAAATTTGACAAGGTCCTAAGCAGTCCCATACCAAGGTGTGCCTGTAGTACATTTTTCCATGTCTATTGGCTACTTGGATATCTCCTTTTATATATTGTCCTTTGTACATTTTCCCCTATCCACTACACATTTTTCTAGAAAAATGCTTGCATCTTTCTTTTTGCTCTGTAAGTCTTCACGTGTTAGGCATAATGACTCTTGCTGCAATTATTCTTAGTTTTGTTATTAACTCTATAGTTTGTGCAGAAGTTTTAAATTTCCATATAGATAATCTTTTTTTTATTTTACCTTTAATATTATACTTACAATTATCTTCCTGATCAAAACAACATATAGCCTCTTATATTTTTGTTTTTGTTTTTGTTTTTGCAGAACCAGGGATTAAACTCAGACCCTCACCCTTGCCAGGAAGCGCTTATTCTACTGAGCTATCTCCCCAGCCCCCGCCTCTTATATTTTGTATTATTTCCTTTACCACTTCTCTCTTTTTTAACTTTCAAAAGAAATTTTGAGACAGGGGTCTCACCTGGTTATTCAGGCTATCCTTGAACATCTCAGCTTCCCAAGTAGCCAGAATTTTTAATTCTTTAAGGCAGCAGCCCCCAGATAAGAATACACACCAGAACTGCTTACAGTGCTTCTTTAAATCCTCAGGTTAAATCTTAAGATTGACTTACAATTTGGGAGCACAGGACCTGACAGGAATAGTTCTTAAAGAATCACAAGAAATTCTGATTCCCTTCCTCCTCACTATTTTAATCCTTCTAAATGTACATAGATATCATTTTCTCAAAATATTGCAATACATTTGATAAATAAATCATTTCATTAATTTGAAATGCTACCTTTATCCTAGTTTGTAATTTCCAGAGAGCAGAAGCTGTATCTGTTTTCTCTGACCAACACATTTTTGAGCCCAGCAGAGTGCTAGGCACAGGAAGCAGTTCAACAAATTTTAATTGAATAAATAACACCTGACACCCAAGCCTCCAGTATCAAACTGGCTAGTCTCTTCAATATTTTCCTGACCATCACACTAATAAAACTGATATTATTAATGCTGACCTTGAGTTAGCTAAAGTATGCCACTATACTGTATTTAGGGTGGCCAGAAAATGTAATTCATGATTCCAACAAGCAAAATCAAAATAACATTGGCCATGTTTAAGAGGTATAGAAACTCTGACCAAATTCACCATGAAGAACGAGACAGCAGTGACACAAGAAACCAAGGAGGTTTGGGTTCTCCAAGCTCTTTTCTTAGTTCCTCCAGAGACTGACTCAGAAGCTTCCCTGAGCTCAGGAAAGAGCCACTCGTTTCCTCTTCTGGAATCCCAAAGAAACTACATTGGATTAGGGAATCAGGAGACCTGGGTTTTGATCCTGTCACTGGGATCAGCTACTACCAATCTGACCTTGGACATACTGCTTGCTTACCCTCTAGGGTTTTTCAAAGAATGACTTCAGATCTAAACCTCTACTTGAAGACCCAAATCAACTACTACAGGGTAGAGCATCTATGACAGCCTAAAATTACCTCCATAGAACAAGGTCTCAGTCCTACTCAAGCTAAAGAAAATAGTAATAGTAGTATTAAGAACTATTGCTAAATTTTACTAAGCACTTTTAAATATTAATCAATATTCTAAGCATCTTATGATTGTAAGAAAGGCACACAGTTACATGGCACTTAACTATGTTCCAAGTGTGCTTCATACATTAATTCATCTTTACAACAAACCTATAAGGTGAGTTCTATTAGTATCCTCATTTTACAAATGACAAAACTGAGACACAGAGGAATGAAGTGACTTGCCCACGGCCTCATAGCTACCAAGTAACAGAATCCAGAGAACTGAACTGAGCCCCATATCATTAACTATCATACCAAACAGTCTTCCAAACTATCACTGCAATATGCTTGTCACCTCAGAAGTTGCTCAAAACAAAAGACAAACTGCAGTAATCCAAAGAACTTACTGATATGGACTATGCCCCTCTTTATTAATGCTTGAAAAACTAAAGTATCACTCCACTGTCTTTTTTTTTTCTGGTAGTACCAGGGATCAAACTCAGGACCTTACACTTGCCAGGCAAGCACTTATTCCACTGAGCTATATCCCCAGCCCCCACTGTTCTTTTAAGCAGAACAGATTTTAGGATTTGAGTTTGGGAGAAATTTTATTTATTAAGAATATGTGACCAAAAAAGAAAAAAAAATATGAGACATTTTTATAATGAATTGCTAAACAGGGCTGGGGAGATGGCTCAGTAGAATAAGTGCTTGCCTGGCAAGCACAAGGGCCTGAATTCAACCCCAGGTTCCACCAAAAAAAAAGAACTTTTTTGGGGGTTGGCTCAGTGGAATAAGCACTTGCCTGGCAAGCTCAGGGCCCTGAGTTCAATCCCCGGTCCTGCCAATAAAAAATAAAAAATTGTTAAACATCAACATGTTTTCATTGTAAAATAAGTAAATCATTAGTGACTAATGATATCTCCATGAAGAACAGGGGAAAGCCGCAAGCTCATTATGCATCATCAGGAACAAAATTTTAGATTTCTGCATGCCCCAATTCAAGTTTTATGCTTTCAAAACTATCTCTGAAATAACTGTCCTGATAGCTCAAAAGTATCTCAATTTAAGTGGCCAAATCAAAATTCAGTATAGGATTCCACCATCTTTATGCCCTCAGGTTCCACATCTGTCTATCTGGGGTTAGTTTTTTGGAATCAAACTCAGGATCTTATACTTGCCAGGCAGGCACTGTACTGCTGAGCTACATCCCCAGTCTGGGGTCACTTCTTGTCACATTCAGTCACAGAACATTCTAAATCCCATCCCATTCTCTCTAACCTTCACTGCTTCTCCTGCTCAAGCCCTCTTTGAAATCACTACTCCAGAAATCTTCTCAGTAAGTCCAAGCTTTCATTATCTCCAGCTCCCACCCCACCTCAGCACTGCTGCCAAAGTAATCTTTCAAAAAGAAAATCTGCTTATGCTACTTCCCTGTTTAGAATCTTTGTCTTCAGGATAAAGTGTAAATCCTTCCTAGAACATACAAGGTTCTTTATTTCCTACCTTCCCTGCTTCATCTGAGGTCGTGCCCCTATACATCTCATAATAGACAAACAAAGCAACTCGAAAGATCCCTAACAATGCTGCTCTGTCTGCTCAGAATGCAGTTCTCTCATTTTCCCATCTGACCAACTCCTACTCATTTTTTTAAACCAGCTCAAACCTTAAAGTTTTAACATTTTTAAAGTTTTATCATGCATCTTTCCAATCCAAGCTTCTATCAAATTTTGCCCCCTCCCTATTATGACACTTACTGGATGTGACACAACAATTTGTTCATATGTCTGTCTTCCTGGTTCACAAGCAACCTTTAAGGTTCTGTGTCTCATTTATCTCTGTATTCTGTTTGTGAAATGAAAGAATGTCTTAGGATTAAGCAAGAATGAACTGCTCTTGATAAATGCCCATTATGTGAGTTAAAACTGGCATAGAAACCAAATCCCAATCCAGAAAATGTTTTTTTTTTAATTTATTTTATTTTATTTTAATTTTTTGCTGTACCGGGGATTGAACTCAGGCCCTAGCACTTGCCAGGCAAGCACTTATTCTACTGAGCCATCTCCCTGGCCCCCAGAAAATGTTTTTAAATTAACAGTCCTTCTATATCAAAACTGTGTTACATCTGTATGCCTAAGAGGTTTACACTGTAACCAACACAATGAAACATTTTTAAAAGGTACATCACATTAGATCACCAGCAAACCCAGCTGTTCAATATTTAGAGACATTTAGGCTATTTCACTCCCCTCCATCCAAGTGACCCTTAACATTCTATGCAACACGGACCAATTTTGGGAGTCTATCACTTCTTACATTCACACTCTCTCATGATAAGCGTAAAAATCCCACACATCCCTAGAGATTCTGGTAGTCTGCTAAAGGACATGATCCTCAATGCCACCAAAGAATTAAATATAACTTTGTGGTTAAAAAAAAATTCACAAGTTTACATGGAATCTTCCAGCCAAGACAGTATTGAGCTTGAGTTTAAAGCAGCTCCTAATACTAAAAGAAGTATTTTTCTTCCATCACCAAATATAAACATTATAACAATAAATATCCTTTTTCAAAGTATCTAAGTCCCAAGACAGTCTATTGGGAAGAAGACACCAGAGAGGTACTGATATTTGTTTCTCCCACTTTTGAGAATCTTCTGACACAAATTTTCTGGAAACAGGAAAAAATCCTCATTTCCTCACACATAACCTTCAAAAGAACATGTTGAAATAAAGAGGATTCTTTTTTAAAGGATGCTTTTGTCATGCTTCTGACATGACATTTTCCTAATTCCCCCGACCTCCACTTAAAAATAATTTGAACTCCTGGCTAGCAGAAGTTTCTTTTAAACTGATATGCTTTGTCCTTGCAAAGACAAAAAGTTAAATTAAAGAAACAGCTGGCTGCCTGCCACTGTTGGGGGGGGGTGCTGAATGGGTAGAAGATGGAATGGGAGGAAAAATCAGTTAGAAAAACAAATGCCAATTTCTTACCCTGCCACATGGCCATCTTGATCCAGTCTTCTTCAACACTGGGGTCACAGGCTCAGGGTTTCGCAGAGTAACCCCCCAGCTTTGTAGGGAGACTTGAATGGGGTATGGATGGAAAGGTAGGCTGTGTGGTCTGGCTTTCTGTAAGACTCTAAAGTCTCAAACCTGAAAATGTAAACAGAAAAATAAATGCCTAGGAAGAAAAAAATTTCAAATACTGCAGAATTATCTCCTGCCCCTCTCTGAACCCCTCTTTCAAAAATATGCATACATGAGCAGTGTTGTTTCCCCTTAAATAGGAAGGTAAGAATCTGAGATTTAGGGACAGTTAATATTGCTACTCAGTGTTCTAAAGTCTCCTTGAATCACTGGAGTTTTAGTAAATAGTGTCCAGAATCGTCAAGAAGGAGTGGTTGGATGAGATAATTATTCTATCTTTCCTATCTTGAAGCCCCACACTTTGGAGAAGACAGAGCAGCATTAATATCCAATCCTCTCCTCAACACCCCAAATACCCAACTTCATGAAATCAGTACAAAGGAAAGAAAACTCTGTGAATTCTTAGAATAAATCTTGCACAGGAAAAAAAAGAAAGGAAGTATAATAAAAAGTGAAGAATGACGATGGCCTTCATGCTATCATGAACTGTGCAAATTTCCTATAGTGAGCACTATAACACAATGGGGAAGAATGAACCAAGGACAAAGAAAAAGATGTAAAATAGAATACCATTTTAAGTAAAATCGAATCAGGTCAGCTAATTCCTATTGTTAAAGCTTCAATCAAGTCACAGCACCCCTCCTATTTGCAGGATGTGAAAGACAGAAATGGGAGGAGAAAATGGGAGGTCTGGCCACTGTGCTTAGTTTGATCTGGGGGGTTCATATATTATACAGTGCAATTATTTGGTCTTCCTTATATACAAATCGATCTGCTTTTTTTCTCAGAAAAAGTGCTCATCTCTTTTTACACGGTGAATATCAAATTAGATTTCTCTTGCCACAGGTTTTATACAACCAGCATCTGCAGCTTGGAAGTGAAACAGCTGAAGCACAAACACTGACGGCTAATGCTAGCCTGAGAATCATTCTGGTCCTCGTTAATGTTCCCTTTCTTCTTTTCTATAAAGGACAAAAGGTTAATGTGTACACCAATCCCAAAAGCCACCAAAGAGAAAAAGGTTTTGGATGAGGAAAGGTACAGGAAGTCCAAGAAAACGAGGAACTTAAACCCCAGGATGAGTTCACAAGGCTAGGGCGCTCCAATGACTTATTGGAACCTGGCACAGTTTATTTTGGTTTGTCTTTTGTTTTCCTTCTCCAATTTCTCTTGCAATTAAGAACTAGTGACCGGAACGTCGTGGGACCAATCAAAATTTAACATCTCTGACGTTCAACCCATACATGCAAAAGCGAGCTCTTACTGACTTTTAATGCTTCAACTTCTGGGTTTCCCTCATTTACCCAAAGCAGCTTCCACTGACGTTATGGCACGAGTACAGGTACAACTTGGAGCTTGGCGCAACTGATTTGCTCTGAAGTGTTAAGAAAGATAAATACACATTTATGTGAAGGAAAACTTTCCCCTTATGGGTAAAGATGCTCATGCACAAGGCTGCGAAGTCTGGAAAGAACCAACTACGTGCCTTAAGCGGCAAAAGGGAAAGGCACAGCAAATACTTCCCGAAAGGCTGGACTCGACTTCGCTAACCCCACACAAACCTGCGGCGAGTATTGAGCAGGAGAGAGAGCCGGGCCTCGACAGAGCTTTTATCAGCCAACGCCACCCGACCCCAGTCTTAGACAGGGGACTCAAGCAGCGAACCTCCGGTTCAAAAGCGGTCGGCTTAGCCCCGCTCAACAAGGAAACTTGGTTGAAGCAGTCCACGATCCCTTCTCCGAGAAAAGGGTTGGGCTCCAGGATTGGATGCCGCACGCACTGACTGGAACTAGCCCGTCTACTTTCTCGAGTGCCAGGCGGCGGCGGGGGCGAGGGCGGGGGAAACCCCCACCCTAGGGGCCGCGCCAGCTGGGGAGCCCTTCCCCGGTGTCGCTGCACTCTGGGGGAGCTCCGTAGGTGGGCAGGGAGCCAGGGGCCGCGAAGGACTTGTTGGGGAAGGAACAGCCCCTTTGCCTTTACCTGTCGCTGAGCTCAGAAGCTGCAGAACCCGTGTCCGCCGCGGGCGGGCAGCGCGCTCGGTCGGCTCTGGAGTCCCAGACACCAAGTTGAGCTAGCGCCCCACGTAGCCGGCAGAGCTTCATTCACACAGCCCAGTCAGGGAGGAGGGGGAGCGGAGGGAGCGCGCCGCTCATGTGACAGGAGCCTCGCGAGTATCAACTCTGCCCCGCCAGCTGCTGCGCAGGCGCACTCCCTCTCCAGGCAATACTGCCCAGCTTGGGGCCAGGGCGGGTGTGTGCGGGATGGTGAGGGCAGGGTGGGAGGGCCCCCAGTTGAGGGAGAAGCTGCTGGGAGGAGTTTCAGCCTGCGCAAGCTCCGTAGGGAGGCCCGGCTAGCTGCCATATTTAAGAAGGGCTGGGCGGGTCCTAACCAGCGCTGGGCGCGTCGGTTGCATTTGAAAAGCAGTGTACCATTCTGTTTCAGTTTCCAGCATACAAGTAACTTGACTTAAGCTTTATAGAAGGAAGATGCTTTTCATGAGCTTCTGGCCCACTGAATACTAGTAGTACAATTCTAGTAGGCACTAATAACATGAAATCAGATATTTTGAATCTCTTATATGTCAAGCATTGTACTAAACCCTTTACCTTTTTCTTTATTAAAAGTCTTTATCTTATTTATTTGATATATGGTCTCGCTACACAGCTGGGACTCGTAGTGATCCTCCTGTCTCAGCCTCCCCAGCTCTGGGATTACAGGTGTGCACCACCATACCCAGACTTGGCGACCGGCTTGGCACCTGGGCGGGCATGGCATGTGATACCAGGGATCGAACCTGGCAGACGTTTAGACCACTGACCTAGCTCCCCAGCCCTACCCTTTACCTTTCTCAAAGTATTTACTGTTTGCAATAGCCCCATGCAGCAAGTACCATTATTTCTCAGTTTTCACTCATAAGAATACAGAGGCACAGAAAGGTTAAGTCACTTTTCAAGATTCACATGATTGTAGGACCAGGAATAAGGATCAAATATAGTGATGCTTGTGATAGCCAACTTGATCCTCATAGCAACACTGGAAAGTCTGTATTGCAATTATCAGTTTAATTAATCACTACAAAATGAAGGTTCAGAAAAGCAATAGTATACAACTTGCACTTTGTGGCAACCAACTGAAATCTGATTCCAAAGCCTTACCCTAAGATTAAAAGAAATATCACTCTTCACTTTTCAAAAAATTAAAAACTTAAGCCAAATGGGGTGCTCATAAAGTTATAGGCAGAATATAAACTGGGATCCATATCATCACTCCAAGTAATCTAACTAGAATCCAAGCATTTTAATTTGAATACCTACCTCGAAAAACCTAAGTGATCAACGACACAAAACCTGTAGCCAATCAGTGTAAATCAACCAGAGACAAATGCGTAATCCAACATAGTCAAGCTATTGAAGTGAAGAGACCACAAACCAGAAACATTGTGGCCATCTCACCACACGATGTAAATGATCAGGATTGTCAGACGATTTGGGGGGAGAATATGATATAAGTAAATTTTAAAAGAAGCAGTGTCTTGTGCTCACTTCAGCACACATAAACTAAAAGAAGCAGTGTCTTGGTAAGCTCAAAGCAAAACAGGACGGTGTCACATCGGTTCATCATCAGGTCTGGACTCTATATCCTTCGGAACCACAAAGTAAAGATAGATCTGGAATGTTGTGTTCAGATACTCCTTATCTGAAGCTCTGCACTGGGGCTGGAAATCAAGGCTAGTTCTGTGTCAAAGAAGCTTCTGTCCTGCAAGCAAATGTGGAAAGATTCATTTTTACTGATAGGAACTCAAGCAACAAAGTTTCTGATAGATTGTGACATTAGAGAACAAAGTAAATTTAAAAGTGGTCATCCCTTGAGCATTGTTATCATTCTACAACTGTGGCACAGGGAAGTAGAAGGGAATTTTAAATTGGGTAAACCAGGGCTCATTTTGAAGGATCTTCCTTATTTGATGGAAATTTGTACTTCATTTTAAAAGTGACTGATAACTTTTAAATAGTCCATAATAGTAGTGGATTATCAGCACAACTTTTTGAGGAATGATCAAAAAGTTTTGTTTGTTTTGTTCTTGTTTTGGCAACTGGGATTAAATCCAGGGCCTCATTGACGCTAAATACCCACACTACCACTAAGATGCATAACCCCACACAACAACTGAGGGTTTGGAGCAAGGATATTTCTTTACAAGAATTCATCTTTAAGGTGAATTAGATTATAACTGTTCATAGAGAGGTCTATCTGTTTGCCTTTCCTTTGTGTGTGGGGGGGTTGTCATTGCAGAATAGAAGAAACCAGAAACCGGATCTTATTTTCAGGTTGAGCAGGAAGAGACGCTGATGAGATACAAATAGATAACACAAGACAGTGTGGGGTTTTTTTTTGGGGGGGAGATGTTTGTTTGTTTGATACAGGGTCTTGCTACACAGTTTGAACTCATACTAATCCTCCTGTCTCAGCCTCCCCACCACTGGGATTACAGGCGTGTACCACCAGGTCCAGTTCCAGGCCAGCAAGGCATGTGGTACCAGGCATCAAATTCAGGACCTTGAGCTTGCCAGGCAGGCACTTAGACTGCCAAGCTATCTCCTCAGCTCAACACAGGACAATATGGACATAACTAACATAGTAATACTTGGGGAAGTATAAAAGAGATTCAAAATCCCAGCTAACCTTTGAAAAGATGTCCCTTGCCTTGATAAATGAAAAAAGGGTTTGAAGAATGGCAACCTAGTTCAAAGAAAACTTGTCTCTTGATGACAAGTGTTCAAAACTGCTCCTGCGACTGGCGCATATTGTTTTTATTTAGGGTTTAGGTTTATTCCGCAAACAAGAAAAGGGGTGGTTTATGGAAAATTATATAGGGGATACAGTACTGTAATATTACCACTTGGTGTCGCCAGTGACCGCTGAGAGCTTAGAGGGCTCTGGTAGGGAAACATTTCAAAACAATGTATATCCCTCTTTTTTATTTTGTTTTTTCAGAGATGGGTGTTCCACTGCAGTTAGAGAAGCTGTATCTGGAGAAGTCTTTAAAGGACCTTTTCATACTTGAAACCAATCTAAAGATTATAGGTACCTGAATTCAGCAAAATAACCCAATATACTCCAATAGGCCATAATAGTAGTGGGTTATCAGCACAACTACCAAATGTTTGAAGTTTTTTTTTTTTTGAACCGGGGATTGAACTCAGACCCTTACGCTTGCCAGGGAAGCACTTATTCTACTGAGCCATCTCCCCAGCTCCCATGAAGTTGTTGACTTGAGCCTTTTACAGCTCAGCATATTAATATAGCTTTACTTTTTATACCTCATGGTTAAACTTTTCTGCTGGATGGTTAAGACCAAGGTAAAGCAAGACCTATATAACTAAAAATGTAACTTTTGTATCTGACAAGGTCAGTCAAATCCCCTCAGGATTTACACTGGAACATGTACAGTACCTTATAGACCGTTTTGTAGTGAAAAAAATATGTATGTATAAGATAGCTACTTTCTCTTAGTTCAATGAGAAGGTTTGTACTAATATTGTTTAGACAAGATACCATGTCTGCACCTTGTCCTCTGAATAACTACTATGAAGACAACAATATGCACTATATTCATTATTATAACTGTCCTACTAACCTGTTTTGAAACTGTTTCATGCTATTTTATATTTTTTCTCATTAAAATAAATAAAAGATTTTTTAAAAATAAAAGCCAGGGGGCCAGGGAGATGGCTCAGTGGAAGAAGCGCTTCCCTGGCAAGCTCAAGGGCCTGAGTTCAATCCCCGGTTCCACCAAAAAATAAAAATAAAAAATAAAAGCCAGTTGAGTTAAAAAATATGTATTTCAAAACAAAACAAAAATTTTATTTTTGAAAATTATAAAACAGAGTAATTATGACAGTAGGCTCTGAAATCAGGTTGCCTACACCCGATACCAACCAGACATGGACATGCTTTAGCTGTATTCCCTCATTCAAGTTGCCTAATTTCTCTGTGCCTCAAGGTCTGTGAAATGGGATAATAAGATTAAGTGTATTAACAGATGTAGAACAGACTAAACATTTAAATGTTCACTAATATTACTGATAATGATGAGGGAAAGGAGAAAGATTCAAACTCCTTTTAGCCTTTGGATCTTCAAGGTTTTGGTTTTTGTTTTTAAGGGGGAAATATTAACAACCAAAATGAGCTCTTCCTTCTCTGCATCTATCAGTGTTCCCAGGAAAGCTGAATCCTGAACCAGGCAGCCAGCAAGCCCAGAAAACAGTACTGAGCTATTATCACATCTGAAGACAGTACTCAAAACAACTTGAGCTGAACATAGGAAATTGTTTTACAAAAAACTGAACCACATAATTTTTCCTCACACAAAACAATTACCAGTACTGATATTAAAGATCACTTAACAAATCATTTTATGGTTGAATCTCTAAGAGTGACCCCAAGATAATCTATAGAGGGTGATGTTTACTGTAGCCCCTTCCAGTTCTGGCAACAGGCACCAACCTGGCACACACAGGCCTCTAGAGCCCAGAGCCAAATCAGAACTTAACAATCAGCACACAGTCTCTGTCTACCTGTCAGTAAGCGCATCATCTGTTGGATTCTCAAGTTTAAAAGGAGCTCTATGTGTGGTGAATATAAATGTGCATATGCCTGTCCAGGCAAAGGTGGTAGGATGTGGCGCTAATGAGGCAAAGTTCACAGTTCAGTCAGCCGCTATAGATCTGTTAACTTGCCTTTCTTCCCCATGGACCAGATCACACTCTGCAGAACCTTAGCCAAGTGGCCCATATGTGCACACACGTGGTCATAAGTGGATTTGGCCCCAATTGTGGAGAGAGATCAACAAAAATAACTCTTTTGTTGCTCTCCTCCTTTCCCAGAAAATTTGAAAAGTATGTTGTCACCTCTAAGATGGTCAAAAGACTGATGATCAAGATGCATTTCAGCTCTTAGAAAACAAAGGGAAATTGGGCTGGAGAGATGGCTCAGTGGTCTAAAGCACCTATTTGGAACAAGCTTGGAAAAGCACAGGGACCGC